GTGCAGGGTGACTACCCACTCTTGGTTTATGTTTCATATTCTCAAACCAGGGCTCTTTCTACCTCCTTATGCCCTTTGGACTTTCTGGGCATCTGTTTTATGACTGGGTCGCAGAATCTTGTGGCACTTTACAGATGGATCCCTAGCATTAGTGAAGCCAGGAATTGGGGCTTTCCCCAAATCTGAGGGAATGATACTCTTGGAAATTGAGGAGGGTAAGCAACAGCATACACAAAGCGTGTATATCAAGGCCTTCCTACAATAACTACCTAAGAATGTGTAAGTGTGCTTATGATCTGATTAGGGACATCCCCAAAAGTCATCTGCAGTCTGAATCATGTAATATAAAATTATATATTTTGAAATTCCATATGGAGACTTTAAAAACAAAAACCAATCATTCCTTTGCTCATCTCACACAATTTACTGAGCATCCATACTTTGTGCCAAGCACCACAATGAGGACTAGAAACAGCAGTGAATAAAACAGACCAGTCCTTGTCCTCACAGTCTAGCAGGGATTGCAAGAGCCAGTGTTGACCCAGCCCTGTCTCAGTGTCTGAGACTTTGGGTTTGACAAACAGGACCTCCTGTCCCTGGGAAGGTGACCTTTGATATTAGACTAAGAGCAAATCTCCCACAGCTCATAAACTGACTGAAATAGCTCATAAGACAACCCCATCCCTTTTGTCCCCACTCACCAAAGTCATCTGTTATTAATGAAGGCTCAGAGGTATCTCCATAATAAGAAAGAGAGCCATAGAGAAGGGAGGAGGGGTATTCTTAAACTAGAATATTGATCTCCACACTGAATAAAGAAACTCTCTCTGGCCTTACCCACTGACCTCTTTGAATGTGATTCACATTCACTGCTATGACAGGACCAACTCAGGGTAAATGGGCAAAGCCTTGGTTTTGAACTTGCAAAGCAGAGGCCCAGATGCCAATCGATGGTGAAAAGAGCTTCAGCTTGGAAAACAGAGATGGTGTTAGTCAGCATTAATCCCTTGATCATCAGCTCAGCTCTCCTGTCCACTTTTTCTTACCCCTCAAGAGCACCACAGAGTTTAATGCACTTTCACACACACGCTCTATTTTAAAGTCTCCAACAACTCACTGGGGATACCCCAACCCTCATTTCATAGACGAGAAAATCAAACATGCTCAGTTCCTTACAACTGGAACACAAAGCCAGTGCTCAAACCCAGATCCTCAGGCTTCAAACCCATGTGCTTTCCACTATCCCGTAGCTGTCTACTTTTAATGTTAGTTCTTCTCTCTTTTTGCATACTGTTTCAGCATGTCCTGATGGGCAATTATCCTACAACCTGCCAATTTTCTGGGCGCAGCCAGGTCACTGACCAGGGGAAGGCCTGAAGCTCCCCTGCCCCCTGCCCTGCCTTGTCCAAGTGGATCATTGCTGCCCCCAAACCTCTTTGCTTTCCATAGGAATCCCATATCTACCATGGCTGTCTGTGGACCTGCTTTTAGAAACAGAGGGGAGCACTCACTGAGGTTTTCTGGGAGTCTATTAATAATTTTGCAGAGGCTGCTCAGTTTTATTTTTGTTTTATTTTTATTTATTTAATTCTCACCCAAGGACATTTTTTTCTATTTTTTGTTCAGATAGAGTGGGAGGGAGAGAGAGGAAGAGAAAGAGAGAGAGAGAAACATTGATGTGAAAGGAACACATCTAGTGGCTGCCACCTGCACGACCGACCAGGGCCGGGGACAAACTGCAACCGAGGTACGCGCCCTTAGCAGGAACCGAACTCGGGTCTCTCTGGACAGGCTGACGCTCTAACCACTGAGCAAAATTGGCCAGGGCGAGGCTGCTCAGTTTTAAATGGACTGATTTCAAGATAAATCACATCATGAGGAAGACATCTTTTCCCTGCTCTTCCCTTCAACACTCCTCATCCCCGTATGGATTTTGTTTTTTGGGTGCTTTTCTTTTACCCCCATATGGCTTGGCCTTAGTACCCCATGCTCAGAAGACAGGACTATTCAGAAGTAGCAGCCACTCTAGCTGATTAATCTCTCTTGACCTTTGTAGGGATGGGCAGTGCTCCTTAAGACCTTTATGCAAAAAGGGACTGCTGCATTAAAGACCTGGGAACACGTCCATGGATGGGTCCCAGTGCTTTTTACACCTCCTGAGTCAATAACTACTGTTTGGGGGGTGAGATATGTATATGCACAAGTCAGAAACTGGGGAAAATTTTTTATTAGACTGAAATTTAAAAGTACATATGTAAAGCCTCAGAGTTTGGGGACATAATCCAGCCTCTTATGTTAAGAAACAGATTACTTTTGTTCAACAATGTTCCTTTGCTTTAACTAGGTCAATGGTGATAAAATAAAAATATGAACATTTAAAATTAGTATGCTTTTGAAATGAGCATTATATTATAAATGTCCCTTAATATATTAAGATGAGTCAATTAGTAGACTATGTCACAACTGAAAACAAAAATACTAAACAAAAGTAACAATAATGTGTATAAAGTGAAATACCTTCAGTTTCAAAATTAGTGATAACATCCCTTTCCAATTAAGTTGCTTTGCAGTATAAGTTACCAAACGTAATATAAAGACATCATTAGCCATGTATTTTCAAATACCTTCTTAACAATAAGATACACAAAAATTCAAAAGTTCTGGCCCGTGTTCTGACATTTATATTGCAGAGCTTAATTTTCCAATCACACTCTCAAATATAAAGTAAGAATCAACTGACTCTTTTAACCAGATCAGAATAAAATAGGCAGAACCAATTTGCATTTGGATGGGCTCTGCTGTGGTTTGTCATGGTCACTTGTAGCCTGGAAGAGGTCTGTTCAGTCCCAGCAAGCTTTTCGAAAAGAGGGTCTTATCTCCAAAGAGGGTATAAAACCAACTGTGGCCAAAGTGAAATTCCAGAGAAAGGAGCTGCCATTTTTCCTCCATTTCAATAGGGCACATTAGCCTAGTCTGAAAGCCAATTATTTCTAAACATACAACAAATCCTTGGGGCAGGCCACAACCCCTGCAGCTCTATGTGAGTTTAGGGCTCAGGACTCACTGAATTGCAAGCCAAGAGACAATCTAGTCAACATGAAAAACCACCCAGGAGCCCCTGCCCTTTCCATCCTGTCCTGGTCCTTTTGGTAATGACAACACCACTCCCCTCATTTTGATACCCTCCCCACACCTCTCCCGGTCTCACAAAGCTAGCCCTTTCATCCTCCTACTGCACTTATCACTTCCTACAATGCCTGGTGCTTGAGGCAGCAGTGGTAGAAGACCTAGCAGTTAGCAAATAATTTTAGGAAAAAAGCAGAAGAAGGTAGGATGTGGGGGTGGGCCTCCCTTTGGCTGGACATGCCAGCTCTCCCTCTTCATTATGGAGCCTGAAACCCATGGAAAAAAGACAATACTGTACAGGGCTATCTTCCCGCTCACATACACACAAGAATTAATAGATATTATTTTTTAGTTCTCTGACACTTTCACAAAACAATTTTAAATAATGCCCAGATTTTCATTTAATAGGGGACATTATTTTTAATTCCGTTGGAGTGTCTTGTGTATGGAATTGGTAATCCAATATAAAAAGGTGCATTTAAAAAAAGTGTGCTGCAGTTCTCAAACCGATCATAAACACACACATGTGATTTGGGAATATCTAGGTAATTGTAAAAATGTATTTGCCTCACCGAGAACTACAGACAACCACTGGAAGTTGCTGGCCTCCTCACCCCTGGGACCCTCAACTCCTACTGCCCAGCATGCAGCCACACCCAAGGGCCAGGGCCCTGAGTTGGTCCAGGAGCCTACCCCAGCCCTGTTTCCCGTGAGCCAAGGCCAGACCTTACACCTGGCCAGGGCGGCTGGCTCTGAGGGATCCTCTAATGAGCAAAAAAGAACAATCCCATTAAAACCAGAAAGATTTAGGTGGAAAAGGCTCTCACTGGAATTGTGGAGTCAGCCATTTAGATCTTCCCACCAGTATCCATGTGAGGAGGATAGAAAAATGGCAAGGAGACACGTGAATGAAAGCATGGCCCTGGTTTAGATGTGGCCCCACAGCTTCTCCCAGACATACACGATGAGGTCAATCATCTGGCTCAGCAGAGACATGTCAGCTACTCTGGCAGTCACCAACGGCCACTACTCGGACACCTGTGTGAAGGGGGAAGTGCAAGTGTCATTTTAGACACGCACAATCCTGGCATTTTCCCTTGAAGTTGCTTCAGGTGTTAGATTAGAATGTATAATGTCAGGATGACATTGTAACAGTGGGTTACATGCTTTTCTTAATCACATTGATTTCGTTCACTCCATACATCCCAGTAGCACATTTTGCTCTGGGTGGATACTCAGAAAATCTGAGATCTGAGTTAATTGTTCAAGTTCCCTCTCCCGTGTGGCCTTGAATCTCCCCATCCTCCAGCAGCAAAGGGTCCCAGAGAGAGAGAGAGAGACAGTGGAAATTACTGGTTCCCTTGGAGAAGAAACAACCCTAAGAGACACATTTAAGTCACCATTAGCATATGTAATCCATCTCAGGCTGAAAGTCGCAGCAGACTGTGTCCCAGCTCTGACTGCTGCACTCAGGAGCTGTGGGACTTGAGCATGCCACTTCATCTCGGTGCCCTTGTACCCTCCTCTTGAGTGGGGACCGGTAGCCCACTGAGTTCTCAGATTTCTTTTTCCCAGTGTAGTCTACTCCCACAGCTCCCCACCTCCACTCCAGGGCCCTTCCCAGCTATGGTTCTGTGGCTGAGGGTTTACTGGAGCCTGGGGCCCCTCTCCAGCAAGCCCGAGCTCCACGGTTGTAACCAGGTTTGCAAGGGGGGAAACGGTGATCCTTTGAACAGCCCTAGGATAAATGAAGGTCAGTATTAAGCAAGCTCTACTCTTCATAAATTAGTAGTGACATCTAGCCAAAGCCCTTAATGTAAAAATGTATTCTTTTTTTTTTTTTTTTAATACAATAAGTTTCTTTCTCTTTAAAGGAAAATTGCCAAGGATGCAGAAGGAAATGAAGATGATCAAAGATGAGGATGTGCGTTTCAGTTTGGGTGTGAAGAGGGCCCCTTCCTTTCCCCACTGTCTGCAGCCAGTGGTTTCCCGAGGGAAAGCTCCCCAAAGACACCCCTTCCCAGAAGCTCTCCGGGGGCCTTTCTCCCAGTTCCGGTATGAACCTCCTCCCGGAGACCTCGATGGATTCCCGGGAGTCTTTGAAGGAGGAGGGTCTCGGAAACGTAAGAGCGTGCCCACCAAAATGCCCTATAACCACCCATCTGAAGAAGCCGTTCTTGCTCTCCATTCTGAGGAAAGCAAAATCCATGGCCCCCCGAACTTCCCGCTACTGTTCCCGCAGCCCCCGCGGCCCAAATATGACTCGCAGATGATTGACCTGTGCAACGTGGGCTTCCAGTTCTACCGCACCCTGGAGCACATGGGGGGCAAGCCCGTCAAGCAGGAGCCCGTGAAGCCCAGTGCCGTGTGGCCCCAGCCGAACCCCGCTCCGTTCCTGCCCGCGCCCTACACCTACTACCCCAAGGTCCCCCCGGGCCTCATGTTCCCCTTCTTCATGCCCTCAGCCTCCCCCTTCCCCTTCAGCCGGCACACCTTCCTGCCCAAGCAGCCGCTGGGCCCGCCGCTGCCCCGCAAGGCCGAGCCCCAGGAGAGCGAGGAGGCCAAGCAGAAGGTGGAGAGGGTGGACGTGAACGTGCAGATCGACGACACCTACTACGTGGATGTGGGCGGGGCGCAGAAGCGCTGGCAGTGCCCCAACTGCGAGAAGTCCTACACCTCCAAGTACAACCTGGTGACTCACATCCTGGGCCACAGCGGGATCAAGCCGCACGCGTGCACCCGCTGTGGGAAGCTCTTCAAGCAGCTCAGCCACCTGCACACCCACATGCTCACACACCAGGGCACGCGGCCCCACAAGTGCCAGGTGTGCCACAAGGCCTTCACCCAGACCAGCCACCTGAAGCGCCACATGATGCAGCACAGCGAAGTGAAGCCGCACAACTGCCGCGTGTGCGGCCGGGGCTTCGCCTACCCCAGCGAGCTCAAGGCGCACGAGGCCAAGCACGCCAGCGGGCGGGAGAACATCTGCGTGGAGTGCGGCCTCGACTTCCCCACGCTGGCGCAGCTGAAGCGGCACCTCACCACGCACCGCGGGCCCATTCAGTACAACTGCTCCGAGTGCGACAAGACCTTCCAGTACCCGAGCCAGCTGCAGAACCACATGATGAAGCACAAGGACATCCGGCCGTACATCTGCTCCGAGTGCGGCATGGAGTTCGTGCAGCCGCACCACCTCAAGCAGCACTCGCTCACCCACAAGGTAGGACCGGCCTGGGCGGGGCTGCGGGGCCGGGGGACCGGAGCAGAGCCCCGGGGGAGGGGCCGGAGACCTGCGCTGCTCCCCACCTCTGCCGAGGGGCTGCATGACCCTGGGCCCTGACGTCCTTCCTCAGCCCGAAATGGGGGAGAATGACGAGACTAGCAATCAAGTCCTTTCCCACCTAGCCTTCTAGAGGCTGAAAGGGGCCTAGAAATAAATAATGTCTTCCGTTTGGAGAAGAGGGTGGGAAGGACGAAGGAAACACCAGGTCTTTGTGCTGTTGCTTCTTGGTTTCCTAGAATTTCTAAAATTCTGTTTCTGGAAACTTCATCAAAGGCAATGGCATGAATGTGTCATCAGGCTCTATCTACCCCAGACCAGCTCTGTGCCTGAGATATGTTGATCAGAGCCTTTTTCTAGAAAATTTTTTCTGTCTCTTGCTGCTGAAGCAGTGGCTACCTTTCTGGCTGTTTTCTCTGTCGACTGTGGGACCTGCTTCATAGGCAGGTGGCTGTGGGGAAACAGGCTGGTGCAGCCGGGTCTGTGCTTCCCCTGGTGGAGCCCCTGCCTAGCTGACTGCAGGGTCACGTGGCTGTATTGCAGGAGGCATGAGAGAGCACCCTTCTCTGGTTGGATGTATCTCCCCTAAGCCAGGTCTTTAAGGAGAAATACAGGCCCACAGGTCTTAGTTCAGACTAGTTTGTAACCAAAGCCATTCAGACTAGTTTGTAACCAAACTCATTCAGGATGAACTAAAACAAGGCCCAGGGGTGCCCCAAAATCTTACCCAGCTGAGCTCACTTGGGGCTGCTTTGAGCTTCCAAGAGGGGAGGTTTGCCCCACTGACCTTCACCCTCACATCTTTGACCTCAGGTGGTTTCCTTGGCAGGAGAGACTTCCAGAGAGCCAGGGTTTCTAAAACATTCTTTAGTTCTTAAAGGTCAGTGGAGGACTTTGCCCAGCCATCATACCATTTATGTCTGCCATAATGGGTTTCATTCGATAGGTCAGGACAAAGCACAGGGCATTTCTGCTCTGCTGCGGAGATGAAATGTATGGCTGCCTTGTGGAAATAGCTCCTCCCCTACACCAGGCACCTGTAGATAGCATCCAGAGGAGAGGGCCTGCCCAGCGCAGGAACCATCAACAAAGAAGCTAGACTGAGATTCAGCCACCAAGGGGATCATTTGCAGATTTATGGTGCGCTTACATGTGGAAGAGGAATCAAAGCTGCATTTTGAAACATAAAAATTCTGTAAGACAGTAGAAAATGAAGTCAAAATGGGAAAACAGCCTGGTATCTGAAATAAGCCTCATTTAAATTAGGGGAAAAATGCATTTTAATAAAGGATGTCAGCAAACAGCGAGAGGTAGTCTTTATTGGATGCTTGCTATGTGCCAACTAACTGCTTTACTTCGCACTTAGTCCTCTTCAACTACCCTAAGAGCTACTTACCGGCATCATTACTCCAAAATTGCAAATGAGTCACCGAGACATGGGGAGGTCACCCAGAATCTCTGACTCCAGCACCTGAGCTCTGAACACTACTGTCAAGACTTCCCTTTCTTAACTCCCTTCCCTCTCCTCCCATAACAACCCCCCCCCCCAGGCTCCCCCTCTGTGATTCCACTGATCCTGTTAGAGACACAGCAGTTTCCTGTGTTCCCCAAAGTTGTGTTCAGGCTCCCACTGACTTGGGTTCTAGGCCAGCCCACTTGTGAACTTTACTTTGGACACAGAATTTTCTTTAGAGTAGATAAGTGATAAGCACATACTTCTCCTTGGTCCCAGAACAATTGGATCATAGCCAAGTATATAGTCTTGAGGAGGAAGATGCTGAAGTACATTTCACAACCCATCAAGAAAATCGTTTTCATTAATTTCATAATTTTAAGCTCGCTGTTTGAATATGCAACACATTTTTAAAATTCATTTTCTTAAGAGGGCAATAATATTGAGATCTCTTCATTAGCATAAATCCATACTCATCTGCAATAAATTAGACTAGAGAGCGTTCCAGCTGGAAAGAGTCCCCAGGTTCCCAGGGCTCACCTCTTCATCTTGAGATGAGGACGCCTTCCCCAGGAAAGGCCAAACGGCTTGTTTTAGGTTATGCAGCCAGTAAGTGGATGAGTAGAGACCTGAACTCACCCTTTAGTACCATGGGCTCACACAAACTGAGGAATGGTACCTTCTTACCATGACCCTGATTAAAGAAGTGGAAATACAGGCAGAGAGAGTTGGAACTAACCACGGAATCCCTCCCTCCACAGGTCACTATGGATACCAGCCAATCTGAGATTTCTAAAGTACAATTAATTGTTAGCTAAGCAAATTGCTCTAAACCTGTGTTAACCTTCGTTTTAATGCCATGATTCTCTAAGTTTTCCTTCCAAAAAAATTTATTCTGGGTCAAGATCCCTTGCAAAGGCCTTTTTGGGGAAGCACTAGTTAGTCAGGATTAGCTAATGCTCTGTTCATGCTATGAGCCCCTGGAAATGCCTTCAGCTGAGGGCATCGATGCTTAAATTATTCAAACACTTCTCCACAGACAGCAAGGAAACTAGAAAATGTCCTTTGGTCCTGTTTTCTAATTCAGAAAGCTATTCTCCGCCAAATTTCTCTATAGGGTGGAAGCTGGCCTAGGGAGGTTCTATACCCCAATCCCAGAGGTCACTGTGGCCTGTGGGAACCCAGGGGACCATCTCAAGAGGAGATTATCAAGTTGTACTTTACTGAAGTGTGGATATGAGTTGTTCTGGGATTTTCAAGTCCATTAATGAGAACTCAAGATATGGGAGATGACAGTGTCAGTTTAGGAGGCTTATGTTTTTCATTATCGTGAAAGCTGGATTCTATGCTCATTTCTCATATCATCCCACAGTGCTCTTACCCAAACCCCGTTAATCCCCGAGAACTGTTGCTATAGAATTAACCCCAGCAGCAGCAGGAACAAGAAAGTATTAGTTTTCCTTTCCTCTAACTTTATGTAGTTTATGGTTTTCAGAAGAAAAAGGATTATGTAATCAACATTTTTCAGGAAAATAGCAATTTAACAAGGCTAAAGCCACACCATTTGGAACTAAACGTCTTCCGGCAGGCCCTCCGTGGGTTTAGGTGGCAGGGAGAAAAACCAAGACTCCCACCCGATGAAAGCACATTACCTGCTAACCACAGTTTTTCTGAATCTTGCCTCCTCCAGGGCGTGAAGGAGCACAAGTGTGGGATTTGCGGGCGGGAGTTCACTCTGTTGGCCAACATGAAGAGACACGTGCTGATCCACACCAACATCCGCGCCTACCAGTGTCACCTCTGCTACAAGAGTTTTGTGCAGAAACAGACCCTCAAGGCACACATGATCGTCCACTCTGACGTGAAGCCTTTCAAATGCAAGGTGGGCAGGGGGCCCAGGGAGAGTGCAGAGAGGACGCAGAGGGTTGTGCAAATGCTCAAAGGGGAACCTTCTACTCCATTTCATCAGGTCCACTGAGGCTCAGAGTAGCTCCAGGCCATGCTCATCTGCTGCTCTTTCCCTCTTTCCACCACACCTTTGCTCACACCAACCTCAGCTGGGCCCTGTTTGTCTCACCATGGAATCAGTGCCCAGGGGCGAAGGCAGCCAGTAGGGAAGGTCTGAGGGCGGAGGGCCCAATGGGGAATGCGGTTGTTAAAGGATGAAGGTGATGTGGAGAGCTCCTGCTCTGGAAAGGAGCAGCCAGTGTAGCTCTCTTCCCCTTACAAGCCAGTGAGTAGAATACAGAAAGTAGTCAGAGACGCTTCTAGCACTGCCTCCGCTCCCATCCCACTCTTCCCCTCCTCTGTCCTAGTACTTGTGCTGGGTGGCATAATTTGAGGGCAGGTCTTCCAGAGAGGATAACAGAGATTCTGAGGACAGCCCTCAGATGACCTCAGAAACGCTGGCTTGGGCCGAGGAATAACTGTGAGCACAGTCATCTGAAGCATTCCAATTTATTCCTAAGGACCGTGGAGCATCTTCATTAAAGTCTCCGTCACATTAATTTGGTTGGGTTCTTATTTCATCAGCTGAGATCATGTGTGAACTGGAGATCTATTTGTAAAACCAAGGCACTGACTGGTGTCAGTCAGAGGTGCTGTGCTTCCCAGGTTGTCCCCTCCCAACATCGTTCCCCTTCACTTCTAAGATGAAAAGGAGTCTTGCTCAGGATTGGGTAGTTTTATTCAAGGAATGTACTGGCAAGTGTCGTCCAAGTCTTGAGGAGAGGGCTGAAGGGGAGGAAGAGAGAAATCACCACGTTCAGATATAATTAGAGCCTTTTCGTTTGAAGTAGAAGTTTTCCTTGTCCCTGTTACTGCATGTCTGATGGGGTCCAAATGATCTTCTCAGAGGATCCCTATTTCTAAAGTAGGGTGTCCTGCTTCCAGAGGCTGTTCCTGCCTTAATGCCTCTGCAGCATGTCTCCCCACTTGAAGGAACCCCCTGTGAAGCTGACTTCTTTCCTGTGTTGGCCACTCCTGGACGGGGTGAGAGGGGTCAGGAACCAGAGCTTCCCAGACCTGTGTGGGCATTCTTCGCAGGTGGGGGAGGGAGAGTTCTCCCTCCAGCCCTTTTCCTGCCACCCACTTGTATTTCCCCTCCTTTCCTTCAAGTCCCAGTGGTCGGAAAGTCAATTTATGTCCATCTTGAGTTCTCGGAGCTGAAGGGGGAGGAAGCATGTAGGACCTGGTGCAAAAGGAAAATGTGGGGCCCCTTTGTTCAAATGTTATGGTGAATTTAAGAGTAAAAGCAGGGCATTATGCCAAGCTCAGGACCCTTCTGAGTTTGGGCGTCCTGACTGCCCAGGTTGCACGCACACCCACGAAGCTAGCCTTGACTGCATGGGCCAACGGATGCCACAGACCAACTTCTCTCTCTCTCTCTCTCTCTCTCTCTCTCTCTCTCTCTCTCTCTCCCCCCTCTCTCGATTTCCTACCCACTTCACTGAGACCTTTGACCCCTTCCCTTTTAATAGAGTTGTTCCTGCTGCCAGGGTACATACTATATTTTTTATCTTATCAACTGGTGGTAGAGAGAGCACATGAAGTTGTTAAAATATGAAGGGAGCCATTGCATAGTTGGCATTTCCCTAAAAATACACACCTGTCCAGTCCAACCACTCCCACCCCACTTCATCATTTCAGGTCCAGCAGTAGTGGTTCAACCAGGCAGAAAAGGTCTCTGGGATATGGCAGAGGGATATGGCAGGGGGCAGAGCCAGTACAGGACAAGGGCTTGCAGGCTATGTGTGATAGGGGGCACAGAGACAGTCCTATTTCTCTAGATCAAGGGCCTCAGAGCAGCCCAGAGGATTTCATGGCCCAGGTGGTAGCTGGGGATTTAGAGGGTTCTCTCTAGTACCAGCGAATAGAAGACTGTACAGAGCTATACAACTTGGGCCCAATAATGCCGTGAACTGGCCTAGCTTGATGTTTCAGGCCTCCCTTCAAGAACAACTGCCCCCTCCTCCTCCACTCCAATGATAGTGTACCACACATGGTTCAAAGGGTGTCTGATGGTTCAGAAACTCAACCTGACTTCTCCTTGAGTGTGCATTGCCCGGTTACCCCATAAGAGAGGGGCTTGGAGCATAAAATGCCAGCCCCCAAACAATGCACAGTTTCTGTTCTCCAGTGGGAGGTGGGCCTGGAGCAGGAACTGGACTGGTATCTTCAGGAGGGTAGGGTCTCTCTGCAACTGTAGGTCAGGAGGCTGCCTGGGAGAGTGCATATATCACTGGAACAAAAAGAATTGGACATTAAAGGATATATTTTTTTTTTATCAAACTTAGGTGGCCCTCTTCCATTCTTAGACATTTCTGAAACAAGAACAGGTATTGGTCACCTCAAACAAGAGCTCTGTCTCCTGGAATGTGCCAGAGCATAGCTCCCGGTTCTTCCTCTGTGTGTTCCCATCTCCCTGCAAAGTGTCACTCGCTCCGTGTCTTCTTCCTACTATCAACCTCTGCATTTCAAAGGAATTTCAGAGCATGTCTGAGCTGACAGGTTCTGTAATGGGTCTCTGTGTGTTGGAAAACCAGCTCCAGATGCCACGGTGAAATGGGCCACCTCGAGATGGTGCCTTGTGGACTTTACTTCACATCCATATTGTGCTGGATTTTTGCAAGTCTGTCCCAGCATGAAGCTTGTTGGGAGTTTGGGAGTTGGGAAAGGAATGGAGGGCCATTTGCTCATTGCTATGCTATCCATAGCCATCAAAGAGGAGTGGCTGGCAGAGAGGAGTGACGGTGGAGAACAGGCCCAGACAACTGAACCACGGCTTTATCATGGTAACAGGGCAGACTTATTCCCTTCACAGGATTGGCATGGCTGGGAGAAAAAAAATGCAGACCTTGCTCCAGCCATACTTTGAGAGTTAGTTCTGTCTTCTTCACTCCTAACTTTACACACACACACACACACACACACACACACACAAAGATTCTTTAAGCAACAGATTCTAATTCCTTGGGACTCTCACCCCTAACAATCCTTCCTAAAATAAACCCCTCCCCCTGTTGCAACATGAACTGGCTCTCCCGCCCCCTGCTCAGTGGAAACAGCTGTCCACAGCAAGCAGCAAAGTTTGCTCGCGGTGGGATTAAGCATTAACAATAGAATGGAAAATTAGAGGAGAAGAAAGGTTTCCATTTGATGTTTCTTTTTCTTTCCTTATTAAAAAAAAATTACTGCCCTTCTGGGCTCTTTTGCTATTGGCTTGGCTTCTGGACTCCCAGCTTCTTGGAGCCAGCTGGAGCTTCTCCAGCGACCTGCGCCTGTGCACTTAAGCCATGTTTCAGAAAGATGCTTCCCAGATTCTGCGTAAGCATGCAGAGGTCGGCTTGGATGCTGTCCTTGTAGCGGCCACACTCCATAAAAGCAAAGAACCAGCTGCCGTCTTTGGGAAACCTGTCCAGGAAAAGCAGCCATCCAGAATTTCCGGGACAAATTCTCCTTTGAGATGGGTGAAGCCGGGAGCTGCCTAAGTTATGAATCACCAGGTCATCTGCAGCCTGGTCTGAGGCAGAGGCCTAAAGGCCGCGGGCAGAGCTGATAGAGGAGGACGAGGTCTTCCTGAAAAGGACCCCCACCACCTCCACCGAACAGGCTCCACCTTCCCCTCCAGTTCTTGGATGCCACGCAGGGGAGACACCGTGGGGACCTTTCGGGACTCAGTACTTGAAAGCAAGGTTCTCGGGCTGGCATTCAGGGGGTTAAGGCAGTGACCAGATAGCAGCCTTTGGCAGCAAAGCCCTCCTCAGCAGAAGGAAGGATATAGCTGTATGAACTGCCTGCTTAACAATGCCTCACATGTCCCCAGGGGCCCGCCTGCAAATAGATTTCATCTTGCTTTCTCTTGTACTTTTCAAAGCTTCCTGTTTTCTCACGGCCCTTTTGGACAGTTTACAGTCTCTCTCTCCCTCCCTCCCTCTCTCTCCCTTTGAGGAAAGGAACACCCTTCTTATTAAAAAAGAGAGAGAGAGAGAGAAGAATGTAAGGGAAGGGCAGTTGAGCGGGGGCCATTCTCCTGGGCTGCAGGCTGCAGCTCTTTGACCTTTTCTCTCAGAATAGGAAAACACAGGCTTCCTGGCGCATCGCAGTCCTCGGGCTCAGACAGGCTGGTTGGCGCAAAGCAGTGTGGCTCTTCTTGGCTTCGTGGGCCTCTGGCCCCAGCCCAGCAGCTGCCCGCTGCCGTCACCCTGTCTCTGCACACAACCGCCTTGACTTCTCCGTGGCTCTGGCTGTCAGCATGGTCGCTGCGGCTCAGGGGAAGTTGCCTGAGGCATCTCCAGGCCCTGGATCAGAGAGGGAAGAGGCACCAGGAAGCTGGAATTTTGAACTCCTAGGAAATGAGGAACCCGGCACCTGCCAGCTATGTAAAGGGCTCGGATCAGGGAGCCAGATAATGGGCTCTCCCGAAGCCTGCAATCTAAGACGAATCTTCTTTCCATCCACATACCCCAGTGCCGGGTCAGGCACAACTGCTTCCATTTCTGTTACACCTCAAGTAACCTGGCAGGTATTTACTCAAAGGATTCCTCGCTTCCTTCAATATTCTCCACCCCCTCCCCCCAAATAATTAAGTCTAAAAAGACAGCACCCTCATCTTCAAAGATCTTTCTATTTCTGGAATGTAGGAGTCTATTATCTACCTGATAATGATAGTAATAAAAGTTCATATTTATTGAGCTCTATTTGCCAAATGCTTTTCATGAATTATCTCACTTGATCTTTATAACAACCTTCCTAAGAAACTACCATCATCATGGACATTTAGGAAGAGAAAACGGCGCCAGTTCTCTATTCCTCTGCAGTCTCGCCATCACCTCTCTGCTCTGCCATCTCAAAGCCTAGTGGTCCATGCAACCATTTTTAAAGGACAGTTCAAAACATTTGTTCCAATTTTCTATTAAGTGTTGAGGTCCACCTACTTCTTAAAAAGTAGGCATAAAAGTGGGCATCAATGGAAAAGCTGAGATTTCATGTCAGGCTCACTAATATCTCTCCTTAGAGACACTGAGGGTTTAAGAGGAGTGGACTGGTTGGGATGGCCACCTGCCAGGCCAGTGCTGAGTCCTCGCCACTCCAGCAGCTTCCTGTACCAATACCTGCCTGTATTTTCATCTTTGCCGACCTAGGCAGGAGATGATTCAGCAAGTCCTGACCTGAGCAAGCTTTTAACCTCACCTGTTGTGATTCAAGGGGACCCTTGACATAGATGGCTGCTTTTCTCAGAAGACGAAACTCAAGTTTTGGTGCTCCCTCTCAACTTTCCTTCTTTCTTCCCGTCTAACTTCTCCCCCCACCTGTTGCAGTGTACTTGGAGCTCATGTACTTGGAGCTCACCTCTCAAACCCCCTCAGCTGCACCATCTGTAATCGACCCCATCTTCTTTCTCTAGTCCCTCTTCACCAGCAGTGACTGAGAGGCCTCTCTCTGAACTTCACAGACACAAAATTTTTATCTGCACGTATTTTCATGCGAGGACAGTGTTCTGAGAAAGACGAAGAAGACAAGCATTCTAGATAATAATCAAGGGCTTTGTAGGAGGGTCGGAGGCTGAGAGGAAGAAGTTCAAGGTGCCAACCACTGACCTGTGACTGGTATCCAAGTACCTTGGGTCCTCAGTTAATTGTCTTTATTCCTCTACTACCGAGGATTTTTATTTTCAAACTAGTATGTGTAGGTTTGTACACACTGTAGTGATGATGGCTGCTTTTGGGGATTTTTGCATGGAGTAGTGATATTTTCCAGACTTGCTTTTTATTCCCCCCACCAGATACTTATATGTTCACTAAGTGTTACTATGTGTATGTACCCTTTACTCAATACTGAGGTTAGCCACAACGACAAGGAAGGTAGCCCAAACATTTCTGAAGATGGTCTCAGCACCTTTTAGTGCCTCAAACATCTTCCAGAGTTGACATATCTCCATTCAGCCTTGGAAAAGCTCTCCATGGGCTGCCCAGTAAGCTGCTGTAAACCCTGAAAGATAAACCACGAAAGATACATAAAAATTAAATTTTACCAACACACAGAAGTCAGTCTCCTTTACCAATCATACATCAGATAATATAGCTTCTCAGTCATGTCCCACAGTGGGCCTTCCTTAAGGCCATAGGCCTTGACTTCAGGGGACAATATCATTTTTATGCCCTAATGTCCCCATGTACCTTTGAAATGTCCCAGGAGGTTCAGTAGTGAATGTATTGAGCCAGAAAACCATTAGAATAGAAAAACACACACTGGCGATGATAAAGGGTGGTAGAAGGTTGTTTGTCTAAGGCTGAGGAAGATCCTGGAAGTTTCCCAGTGGTGGCCATTGTGATGTGTACACACCTCTATGTGTGTGGTGGGCAGAGGGGTGAGGACGAAGGGAGATGGGACCTTGGGCAGGTGAATTGCAGGCTCTGCTCTGACCCCAAAGTCACAGTAGCTGTGGCAGCAACTGCAGCTGATCATTATCACAGCAGAGACAGTTGGCTTGCTGTGGTCTCAGACTGAGTGCAGTGTCCTCAAATGTTTAATGTAAAGACTTTATGCTTGTGTCAGAATAAAACAAAGTCACTCAGCATGTTCTTCAAGGGTAGGCTAAAATTCCATCTCCTTCAGTCTTATAAAGGGCCAGTCCAGCTTCTAATACCTCAGCAACCATAAGTCATAACTAAAAGTGTAATTTCGCCCTTCATGGGATCCACCCATCTGGTCCTTTCAGTTCTCTGTTGGACTGCGGACTGTGAGACCCATTTAGGCTTGGACTAGTGCAGTAGCCTAACTGATCCTCCAGCCTCCAGCTCCTCTCTCCCTATCTGTCTTATTTTGGATGGGGGCGGGGAGGCAGGATTTTGCTGTTTACAAATCTGCTGTAGCATCACTCCAAATAATCAGAAACCAAATAAAATATACTTTGTCTAAAATGACCCTCGATTGAAAATATCTAATGCAGAATCTTTGGATTCAAAGCTGCTTCTTCTTCTTCTTTTTCTTTAGCCAGAATGGAGAACTGCATAAACTATACTAAGAAACGGATCAATAATGTTTGCCAGAACTTGCGCACACACGCAAAACTAAGCCACAGGCTGATAATTTCTTAATAAATTGTCTCTACTGAAAATAAAAGAAAGCAAGTATCTGTCCCATATGGAGGGCTCCTGAGGACGTTGAAATTAGACCTACTCTCTCAGCCTTTCCCTTCCTGGGTCACCTTTTCCAAATGCATGTGGCATGCAGATACTCAATATTGAGTGTGGGACATCAGTATACTGAAGGAAGCAAAATGGGAAAAAAGTACTTAAAACTCCCAAATATGAATCATTAAAAAATAGAGAGCCAACCATTCATTATACATGTGTGGATTGCCTATGACAAATTTATAATTCCAAGCTGGCTTCCTCCTACCACCCAGCATTCTTCTGGGCTAATCTCTCAAGGTCACTGTTTGTTGGGTCTACCCATTCTTCCGCAGCCAGCTAACCCTCGCCTCCATAGCTACTCGCGGAAAACTTTGCCTTCAATAATAAAAATTCAATCCAGAATCCCTAACACTGGCCCTGAAAACCCCGCTCGGTGAGAAAGGAAAACTAATGTCAGCTTCAGAGGATGCTGGACCCCTGGCAGCCACGGCATCTCTTACTCCACACGGCGGTGCTCCCGACCGGGGCTTCTGGGGTTGGGGAGGGAAGGAGAATGTTCCTCCCTTAACAGGAATCCTTTGCAATCCTCCCAGCACAGCCAAGGAGGGGCTGGAGTCTCCAAACCCTGCCCCGCTAAGGCTTGGGGACAACAAGGGCAAGCAAAGCAGCCCAGAGCCGCGGTTCTGCCTCACCCTGCCCCATCTGCAAGCCTCGGAAAGACAGCTTCTTGCTGAAAGAAGTCGGAGAACCACGCTGGTCCATCATGCACTTGCACTTTAATGGAAATCAAGAGACATGACAAAAAAATGAATAAAATGTTTACTTTTTGTATACCTGAGATAACCTTTTCAGTACTTCAGATATCTACCCTTTACCTGTCTCCTTGAAATTCATCCCGCTGACTAGCAAATTTAAAAGTTAGAAAAGTATTGCCTGATACTGTCTAACAGAAGGGATTGTTAAGGGATGCAGTATGGTGGTTGACCATGTGGCTTCCGGTGTCCAATGACCTGAGTTCATTATCCCAGCTCCAGCGCCCACGAGCTGTGTACCTTGGCCAATCCCTTCATCTTAATCTCTCAGCTTGTCCATCTGTAAAATGGGAGTGAAAGAGTACCCACCTCATAGGATTGACGTGAGAATTAAGTGAGCTATTCCATGGCAGACTCAGGATAGTGCCTCCTGTATTGTAAACGCCCCATAAATATTAAACAGGCAATTGTATCATTATTATTCAAGTGAAGCACACTCTGAGCAATTGCTCTTCAGATCAGCTTCTCTTTTTCAAGAGGTTCAAAAGGAGCTTTGTGATTTTAACCTTGAGTTTAAAATTCCGCTGCTACAGGGACAACATCTCATGAACCCACCCCTGCCTGCTCCACCTCTGACCTGGGCACATTCTAGCCCCTCCCTGACTTCCACGAGGGCATTTTCTTTGGAAGCAGCTCAGAATGCCCAGATCCAGACAAAGGGCCTCGCATGTGGGGTGCCCTGCCTGTGAGTAACCTGTGTTCTCCTTGTCACCGTCTCCACAGCTGTGCGGGAAGGAATTCAACCGGATGCACAACCTAATGGGCCACATGCACCTGCACTCTGACAGCAAGCCCTTCAAGTGCCTCTACTGCCCCAGCAAGTTCACCCTGAAGGGGAACCTGACGCGCCACATGAAAGTCAAGCACGGCGTCATGGAGCGGGGCCTCCACTCTCAAGGTACGCACTCCCCCAAAGAGCCCCCAGCCTGCAAGGCCAGCGGGTACCAAACGGCGGTGACCTTGTGCACTGGGGGCTTTACCTTATTCTTATGGTCAAATAAGAGAGTAATTTTCAAGACTACAGCAGGGAAGCAGGATCATGCTGACAGTGTTACTGTAACAACTCAAATGCTAAGATCTGAAGGTAGTAAGTAAAAGTGAATTCTAGAAAGTCAGTGGGAACACGGAAACAATGCCAGCCCATTCGTACCCTTATTAGTTTTCTGTTCCAGATACTGCATCAAGTGACTTGCTTCCTCAAATATATATTTTTTTATCCTCACCTGAGGACATTTTTCCATTTTTTTTGTTCAGTTAGAGTGGGAGGGGGAGAGAGAGAGAGAGAGAGAAACATCAATGTGAAAGGGATACATCGAGTGGCTGCCACCCACACGACCCAAGCAGGGCCAGGAACAAACTGCAATCGAGATACATGCCCTTAGTGGGAACCGAACTCGGGTCTCTCGGGACCGCAGGCTGGAGGAACTTCTGTTATCCCCATTTTACAGATATGGGAAATGAGGCTTTGCAACATTAATTTGCCCAGTTGCTCAACTGAAAAGTGGCAGAGACAGGATTGAACACAGACCTTTCTGACTCCAAAGCCTGTATTGTATACACTTCATTGCGCAGCTGTTAAAGGACATGCGACTTTATTTTTTCTTTTGGAAAAACAGGTCTGCAAGCTCTGTCGTCAGCAGAAGTGTGTCTGTAGCAGGCCTCCTCTTACCTGTTCACGCCCAGACACACTCAAGGGCAATTCTGTGCAATGGGGCTGATCAGCCCAAACGCAGAGCAGAGGCTTACGTTTCCCTGGCTGAGTCCTGACTGAACTGATGGAAAGTTCTCACCTCGTTTATTTTCTCAGTCCCAGAGCCCTCAGCAGTGAAAAGTTCATGTTCCAGATCTGCTGAACTTGGCAGGTTGCTCTTTGCTCACCTAATCAGACAGTCCTTCAGTATCCTGCAGTGAGCGCAGGCTGCCCAGGGCAGTGTGCTCTGGGCCGAGGCAGCGAGGAAGGGAAGGAGACCAGTGTCCTCCTCCAGGAGGTCTGCACAGAGGGAGAAGACAGTCCTATCGATAACTTAAATCATATTAGCTGGCTGCTCTTTTCTGGTCACTACCATGATCAAAGCACAGGGCTAGACATTTCAGAGTGTGTTCCCACAATTCCACAAAGCAGACTGTGTTCTCATTTTATATAAGCGGACACCAAGGCTGAGAGGTGCTATATAAACTGCTCAAGTTCAGGCAGCAAGTCTGAAGGCAGAACTGGGATTCCAACTGGAGAATTTCTGAGTCAAGCCAGTGCTCACCGCACTAGGTGAAAACACGGGTGATTCATTCGTATTTGCTCATTCTCCACCCCTTTACAAAACAGGTGGTCAGACAGGTGCGCATATTCATAGATAAGGTACACACAAGCACACACAGCATGCAGCAGAATGACTGTAGCTTTCAGATTTTTACAACACCCACTGAGTGGTGACTCCTGGGCAACAGGGACCCATGGTCATCATAAAGCAAGGCCTGGAGTTTGTGCCAAAGCCCTGAAAAAAATTTGGTTAAAAAACTAAAGTAATCCCCCCCCCCCAATGTTTTTCACTTAAATTATTCTTTGCATCTCCGTTGCCTGAGCCGCTTCCCACTTCAGGCCTGGGTTTTACAGAACAGGTGAGGTCTGTTCCGTCTCCAGAGCTGGAGACACAGATGAGACAGGCCTCCACCTGAACGCCTGGCCTGGTCACCACAGCTTACCCCATACGGACTCTCAAATCCTAATCACACCTGATGACTCTGTCGTCCTGGGAAAATAAAGAGCATCACTATCTATCAGAGAGTTGCTTTGAAAAATTTTAACAGACTTTCAACAATTTTAATGTTTTCATTGATAAAAGGTGTTAGCATTTTTTCACTCTAGTTTTTGAAATGGCTCAAAAATCATGGCCCAGATGAAAAAGATCCTCCCTGTGCCTCTGATTAAAGCTGAGACACCTTCATTGCCACAGTATCATAAAGCTGGCAACAGTAGACATCAGCTTCCTTTGTGTGTCCCCACCTAGAAGCCTGGTCCTCTCGCAGCCAGCTCTGGCTGCACCCCTAGACCCATCGCTCCTACTTCTCCTCTCCAGTAGCCCCCACCTGTCCCTCAGGCTTGCCTGTGGCTCACCACGGTCAAGATCCAATGAGGCAGAGTGCTGCCACGAGTCTGGTGGCTCCTGAAACGTCTGTGCCTACAGAGTCCTCAAACTGAAACTGAAAGTGAGACCCTCATGCATCACTGTACCCGATGGCAGGAACACTTGTGGTTGGACACAGGGGCTTTGGGGTCCTCAGAGGACCTCTTCGTGTCCTCCCTACTCTGGCTATGTTAAGGGCCCAGGTATGGGGTGTCTTCCTTGGCCCCAAATGGAATATCTTTTTTTCAAGATGAAAATACCTTTATAATTGTTTTTATTTTATTTTTTTTATGGTGAAATAGATGCTCACTGAAAATAATAAAATAAATGCATTAGAAATGAAAAGAAAAATGTCCAAATCACCTTATTTTTTCAGAGTTTTGACATACATCTTTTTTTTTGAGAGAGAGAGAGAGAGAGACAGAGAGGAAGAGAGTGAATGAATTGGGTCTGCACTGTAAATATATATAATAAGTATGTATGTTTTTTACTTAAAATATATAGAGAATACCTTTTTGTGATTATCGGGTCTCTACATGGAGGTACTATTATTTATTTAAACAAGCCTCTATCATTAAATAAATAGATTGTAAATCGTCTTCACAGTTTCGTTATAAAAAAATGTGGTGATGAGCAAGCATCCTCACACACAGATTTTGTGCACCTGCCAATCTTCAGAGTCTAAATTCTCAGTAGTGTGATTGCTAAGTCAGAGCGAGGCTTACAGTAAGCTCTTGTTCCATGTTGCCAAATTCCCCTTAAAGGGGTTAGACCCATGTAGACTTTTTGGGAGTTTATCGATTTTTAAAATGTAAACTCAAACGACACTAAACGGCCCTGGGTACCACCAACCACCCGTTTTCAAAGGCTTTCCCTGGGCCTGACCACTGCCTTTCTCTGCAGGTTTTGGAAGGGGGAGAATCGCCCTTGCGCAGACGGCAGGGGTCCTGAGGAGTCTGGAGCAGGAGGAGCCCTTCGACCTGTCCCAGAAGCGCCGGGCCTTCCAGTCCGATGGGGAGAGCGCCAGGGGCAGCTCCTGCCACGAGGAGGAGGAGGACGACAACTGCTGCGAAGAAGAGCGGGACAGCCCGGGGCTGGCCCCCCGGAAGCGGCAGCTCTGCGCGCCCCAGGATCTCTCCGCCAAGCCCGAGCCGGCCCCCACGGCACTCCAGGAAGCCTGCAAGGAGGAGGAGGCAGAGGAAGAGGAGGAGGAGGACGACGAGGACATGCAGAAAGAAGAAGGCCAGGAGCAGAGCAAGGGCAGCCGCGGGGCAGAGGGCGGTCGGGAGAGAGCGCGCGCTGGCAGGGCACTGCCCAGCGCCCGGCGGGGTGCCTCCTTTTCTGATTACTTGTACTTCAAGCACAGAGATGAGAGTTTAAAAGAATTACTGGAGAGGAAAATGGAAAAACAAGCAGTGCTTTTAGGTATCTAAATGGACAGTTTTAGAATTACATTTGGAAAATGAGAAGTAGGCAGTTCAAATATAGCTTTCTGCATGAGCTGCAGTTCGGGGAGACCGGGACTGGCGCAACCCCTCAAGAGTGGGGCGACTCAGCCTCCTGAGCTGGCCGTCCTCAGCAACCCCGTGCTTCTCGGGTCACTCCGGGCTCATGATTTAAATATATATATATTTTTAATTGTTGACAGTAACTTCAGGCCCTTGATTTTTAACACACAGTCAGGGTCTTCTTCAGTGTTATTTTCTGCCTCTCCAATATAACAAGCTGTACATATTCTTCTAGATATCTAATTGTAAGCTGATGCTGAGGTGCTTTTAGAAATTCTTTTTTTTTTTTAACTGATATACAATAATGGTAAATTTCTTTCGAGTTGCAAAACTATGGTGCTTGACATGTTACTTTATTAATGACTATTTAGTTGAATGTGTGAAAGTTATAATATTTTTCTCCCAGATAGAAGAAAATATGAGTAGTTGTATATATATAAAAATTTCCTTTATTAAAAAAAATTTAAAAATATCAGAAATGACACAGGAGCGTGAGTTATTGAAAAAGATATTCTCACATAGTCGCTGCAGAAATAAAACAAAATGTCAAGAGAAAATGAATAATGTTGAGGAAGGAAAGCGCAGCCACACTTAGATTCCTCCCTGGGTCTGCCTCGCTCTGCTCCAGCGGATGCGGCCTTAGGAGCCATGTCCACCGCCCCGCAGTGCTGGCGCCTGGTCTGAGCAGAGCTCCCTGCTGCAGACCTCGCTCGGGACCTCATGGCCCCAAAAGGCGGATGCAGGAAGAGTTGTCACCCTGTGAACAGTTGGTTTCTCCTCGGACCCGGAGCTGGGGGACTAGGGGAGGACTTCTCCCTGAAATGTGAGGTCTGACTTGTTTGGGATGGTAGGATAACCAGGATAATCGTTAGGAGGGGAGAGTCTGGGCTGTGTTCTCAAAGTGCCTGCACGTTAGAATCAGCTTGGGGGGCCTTTTTAAAAATACCGTCTGGGTCCTCACCCTCTGAGATTCTGATTGAATTGGTCTGGAGTGGAGCCCCAGCATCGGTTATTTTCTAAATTGCCCCATGATTCTTAGGTGCAGCCAGGGCTGAGAAGGACTGACTGGGCTAAAATAGTGGCTCCCAGGGCCCCCTCCCAAGGACTCCATAAATATTTCTGTGCCTGGCTTCAGACTCATTACGATAGAGAGCAGGAGACCTTGAAATCATAGTGCTGACTTAGGCTTTTCACCTGTTCTCTAAGAGCCTTCCGAAGGGACACGCACACACAATACACACACTTTCTGTATTACAAGATGATGCCTGCAATGTTTATGGTCACTTAATATGTTTTAAAATACATAGCCAGCTTACAGTGACTAATCATGTCTTCTTAGATGCTTGAAGCACGATGCCAGTGGAGCCGTGATTATAACGGGTGGGTCAAGCCCAGCAGGTAGGCTTTTCTCAGGCACGGCACCAGGTAAAGCAGTACTGACAGGATGTCACATCCGTGTGACTGGCCATAGCAGGAGCCCTCTGGTACTGTGTCTGTGTTTATGTAAAAACTGCCTCTAGGTTGGTAGTTTCAACTCTTATTTGTAGAGCTAGGTACTGTTTATTATTTTACTTCCTCTCTTCCCAAAGTCCCTAATACATTTCTTTAGAAGACCCAGCCCATCTCCGACTGCTGGATACTGGCTTTTTCTCTTGGCCAAGGTGCTTCCCCATCAGTCTCATCTAAGTTTCATCATTTACCCAGGTGCTCTGTCAATTTCTGATGCATTTTTCCTGCCACTGTGCCTAAAGGGTCTTCCTTCAGCCTCACTACCACCAAGTACCAAAGCTGCTTGGGTTTTCTACTGCCACCCATGTCCCTAGGTCAGAGCACCTGCAAAGGGATGGTCACAGGAATAATGTGGTTTCTGCAGTTACAAACACAAGTCTGAGCCAGGAACCTGTTCCAAGTCATCAGGGGGGCAACTTGCTTTCCATTCATTGTTAATATGGCCTATTGATGCCCTGATGACATCACCCAGGAGGCTGACCATATGGTCCCCAGCTCTTAGGGTCCTGTTCCATATTTACTCTTTCAGCAGTTATGTGTTGAGGACCTACAATAAAGGCTGCAAACTTCCAGTTTGTTCTAAGGGTCTGGCTAGCTGGAAAAGGAACCAGGAAATCGAGAATAGCAAGCTCTAGTCTTTTCAAACCAAAATGGATCATGTGGGAATGTTTGAGGAACAAGTTAACGTTGAGGTGGAGAGAGTAATGTCTAGAAGAGTGGTTTTCAACTTGTCTGTTGAGGAGCCAGAGGTCGCTCTTAGTCTCCCCCAGAGCTGCTGAGGGAGAAGGAGACGCTCTCAGCCCTCGTGCCCATGTCGCTCAGAGTAATTCAAATTCCATCTGTTTTATATCTTAGCCTTCTAAGTAAAATTTCATTTGGAGAGAGAACAAGGTCTAGGAAAAGTAGTAAAAAGTTGTTATGAAGTGTATTCTAAAGTCTGTTTATAGTTCTTGACTCTGGATATGAGATATTTAATGAGATCTAACCCCATGGTTAGTATCCACTGACCTTCTGAGAACCAAGGTTAAAATGTTGGTTTTGTATATTGTTGAGTGACCGGCATCTGTTTTACACCTATTGTCCCAGAGTAATTACCAGTAGTATCACCTAAACTCTCAAAATGTTCCCAGTTTGAGGAATAAATTATGTGGACACCATTGCATAGGTGCAGAGCTCAGGAGAGGGTTGGCCCACTCTCCTAATGAGCTGGTGAACCAAAATGAAGAGCTGAAGGAGAGTCTCTGGGGCCATCTTCAGAGAACTAACGGGTGAAATCATCCAAAGTCACCAGCACTCCAGGGCCAGAATGGCGTGACATTCGCCACATTGTGACCCTCGGAAAGTAGGTCAACACCAAATGCTTTTCAGACTTTTGACCACTCTCACTGTCAACCAACCAATCAACCAGCCAGCCAAGTGGCACATTTTTCTTTATCTTTTCAGTTCAGGCCTATGACTACACACACCTACTGCCTTTCAATTATTTTATTCTTTCTTTTAAAAAATTTTTGATTCCCCATTGGCCATGAGGCTGAGGCTTACCTTTCACAACCCCACAAGGGGAGCTGGTCTATTTGTGTTTGAGTAGCTATGTGAGAAAGCCCAGTGTGCACACTGTATTTATTAAGCCCTGAAGGCATTTAATAAAATATTAGCATCGTGTTTTGAATCGTGATCTTTGTCTGCTTTGCTGGAACAAATGTAACGGAGCTAACATTTAAAATCCTTCACATATTTGGACAACATTATACCAAATGTTGATTTTGCACAGACTTCTGGCTTGCTATTTAAAAACTAAAACTCCAAGTGTGCCACAACCCAAGTTGTGAATATTGCTTTCTGCTTCAGTAAAAAAGCAGTTTACCTGAAAAGAGCATGTAACCTATATTTTGTTAATTTAAGCAAATAAAGACATGTTGAAAAAGCTGACTTAGTTGTTTGCAAATATCCAAGTTTTGCAAGGAAGCTGCCATTGTCTGTGTCTTACTCCTGCCCTCATACCCTCTGCCAAGGTGGTTCCCATTGGCTGGGGCCTCAGCCCAGGGACACAGATGTTGGATGCTCCCTCCCTCAAGGCTTCGGAAAGGAATAATGACCCTCAGCCCATCTGTAGGCAGGTGACATCTTTCTCATCCTCTCCATCTTTCCTATTCAAAAAAATTGGTTCTGGAAAGGTGTCATGGGGAAGTGGGAGGTTAGAGGCAGGGTTGCCTATTCCCTGTAGAATAAAGTTCAACCAAGAGGCAGTGTACTCTAGTGGGCAAGAGCACAGCTTCTGGTGCCAGGTTCCTGGGTTCAAAGCCCTGCTCTTCCATGTTCAATCTTGGGACTTGACACCTATTTGTGAACTTCCTCTGCCTCAGTTTCCTCATCTGTAAAATGAGACTAAGAATACTACCTTCCTCACTAGGTGGCTGTGTGGGTTAAATGAGTTACTATATGGGAGACACTTATGTGCCTGGCTCACAGCTCATGCTATGTAAGAATCAGGCTTTATTACCATCAACAAATTGGCCAGAAAACAGAACACTCAGCTCTCCCTCCTCAACAGGGAACTCACAAAGCACTGTCGGCGTGGGGAACTGTCGGTTTCTGTGAGAGCTCCTCTTTTAAACATCACACACTGTTACACGTCGACCACTGCGCTGCATTTACACACTCGATCTTATCTAAGCCCCACACAGCTCTGAGAGGCAAGCGGTGATGTGGAAAAGGAGGCTCGGGAGAGGGAAATAGCTTGCTGCAATTACCTCGTTGGTAAGTTCCTCCTCTGCCTTCAAAGCATTTAGCCGGTAGCAGGTTGAAGGCTCTGAAGTCCATGCTGAGACAAATGTGAGCGAGGTGCTAATTAGGGACTGGCATTGGTTAAAAGAAGACTGAGCAAAGAGAGCCAAGCTGTGATGTAGGCCAACCAAGCCTCAGCAGGCAGCCCTGGGCCAAGGACTGCCCATCAGAGTTGTGCCACATTGGGCAGAGATGTCCAGGCCTCTTCACCCCCACCAGAAGGGCATGACCTCAGGAAGGTGACCCTCCGGCAGCAGCAGATGCTCACGGAGCTGGTGGCTGGAGGCTGTCTGCTGACTGCCTCACAGGCCAGTGCAAGCTTTTCCTTGGAGAGAGACCGGGTGACTCATCTCTGCTCCACCGCAGCCCACCCATGTCAGTCCCACACACGTCAGGTATATGCGTGAAGCATCTCCCCGGGGTCTCTGGTGGGCCTCTCTTCCTGAGGGAAAACTTAGAAGAGCAGAGTGGGTGGGACAGACTTCGGCCTCCACTGCAGCACTTAGTGGAAGAGACAGGCTGCTCCTCGCTGTCTCCCTTCCGCCATTGCCTGCACACCGCTCACCTGTCCAGGTGGCCTGGCCCAGAGCCTCACCACCACGGGGGCTGAGCCACAGCTGGTCATCACGCTGCCATGGACCCAATGTTCATGTCTCCCCACGTTAGGGGTGAAGCCCTAACCCCTAATTTAACAGTATTTGGAGGTGGGGCCTTTGG